CTTGATGGCCAGTTAATTGAAGACTTTTTGCCCCAAAAACATGTCAAAAATTGGATTGACGCAGTGGTTGAAATTAGACATAAGAAAGGAAGTGGTTGAAATTATACATACATAAGAAATTATACATACATAATACATGAAATTATACATACATAGACATAAGAAAGGAAGTGGTTGAAATTAGACATAAGAAATTTTATATAAATATAAAAATTAATATATATTTATAAATAAGACGTCATTTTTCGATTTATTTCTTTAGTTCTTTTTATTTTAATTTCTTTACGTTTATACGTATATTTTATGAGTAAATAAATTTAACAAACTAAATTAAAAAAAAAGTTTTGCATCGTTGAATAACAGTATACAATCGTTGCATATTAAAAATCAATAACTTGCGCGCACTTTGCAAATGCATGAAGAATTGTTTGGAAAATATGACAATTGATTAAATTCAATAACCATGTTTCATTTATCCAAAAGCTTATTAACTAGAATAAAAATTTATTTGAATATAAAACTTATATTCTTATATATTATTTGACACGTATCATTTTTTTGTTTCATTAATCCGTGAACCTGCGTAACCCTTGTAGTAACTTTAGAAATTTTTGGCTTAACTTTCTGCACTGTCAATAAGCCAGGGATTTCTTCAAGTTGAATGCTTTTTTCACTCAGCTCTTGTGGTTTTTGGGGTCCCAACCATGTGGTTTTTGTAGCGCCTTAAGTACTTCCCTAAAATATAAGTTTGCAATCAAAATACTATATGAAGTGAAATTTAATATAACAAATATATCCAAAGTATCGTAAAGTTACAATTATTTTTAAAAAAGTTATAAACAATTTAAGCCATGTGGTTTTAGAGGTCCCATACTAAAAAATAGAAAAACTTTACTGGAAAAAAAAAGTAAAATAAAAATACTAAAATACTTCTTAACCTCTGGGAAGAACTTTTACCATATAAAAAAGCAAAAAAAACTTAAATTATTTGTTTTGTACTGAAGATATGATAAAAGAAAAAATCATGCGGTTTTTGGGGCCTGTCCACCTGTACACGATGTTTGCAAAACTTTGCATCAAATGATTATATGAGAGTACATGGTAGCATAGGAGAATTTTCACGATGGCTATTAAAACATGGTAGTGGAATGATACCTTTAAAAAAAAAGTTGTCAGTTTTCTGTCCGATTGGTATAAACAATAAGAATCATTTAAAGTCAAGGTAGAAGGCTTGAACAAGTTAGTGTATATTAAAAAAGTCGTTTTTCACTCATGGTCAACTATATGATGTGTATTCAAGAACAAAAGAATTTAAAAGTTTGTTAAACTTACAAATGCTTCAAATGATAAACATCCGATTCAAAAAAATGATAGGCAAAAAATGTTGCACAAATAATATTATATATTCTAATGTTCTTATTTTATATTCTTTGGCTTTTAAAAAAGCCAAGCAAATGTTTTGCAGCGTGTGTTGAGCTAGACTGTTATGTTAGCCAGTTACTTTTTATAAATAAAATTCTATTTTTTTTAGAATGTAAAATGGTGTAGAGCAAGATTGCCAACCATGCTAGTCAAGCGGTGTTTTAAGTAGAGTTATAACAGCATTTAGTCCCCAAAGTGTTACTGTTGTATATATAGGTTCTGTTTTCTAGCTTATTATAATTATTTAGAAAACACATAATGCCTGGTAATATTTAGTGTAATGTACTGTGAACTTACAAATATTTTATGCTTAGTGGTATTCCTCTAGCGTAATAGAAGTGGTGTTATTGTTGCAATGTTTTGTGTTGATAGACAGCTTGGCTTACCTTTCTGTCGCTGATTACCGTTAAAAATGAATCAAGTTAGTTTCAAAGTTCTACTTCTATATGACATTGTGTTTTTTATTTTAGTTTCAACGATAATTATACTATCGTGAGAAAAGTTATACATTTACGAGAGCCATAAATTTCTCTCGTAAATCGTTTTAGGGGAGTGTGGAATGAATCAAATGAAAGCGAGAGCTAAAGCTCTCGTTTCTCGCCTAGGCCTATATATATATATATATATATATATATATATATATATATATATATATATATATATATATATATATATATATATATATATATATATATATATATATATATATATATATATATATATATATATATATATATATATATATATATATATATATATATATATATATATATATGTATATATATATATGTATATATATAAATAATTATATTGGGGGTGGAACAGTACTACCACCAAATAGTTTGAATTACCTTTTTTTTTAAGTCATTTTTTTAGACAATTTCTTTAAAATTATTTATTTGAAAAATTATTGGGGGGGGGGGTGAGAGTCAATGCCTCTGCTGTCCATCCGGTTTCTACGAGCCTGTGTAACTTATGTAGCGTACGCTATAAGCTAAATATAATTTTTTTTTTGAAAATTTATGACCATGTAAAGTTTTTTCTCTCCCCATAAAAAAGGCATAATAAATTAAATATCTTCATAACTTTCGAATATTATTTATTTGATGAATTTAAAGCCTCAATAAATTTAACTTAAGTATAAGATAGTGTAATGAAATATTTATCAAGTAATTTCACTCGCATTTGGTGGAGGTGGTCAAGATAAATTTTTAAAAGATTGAGTCCCTTGAAGAATTTAATGAACTTGAAACCAGATTAAAAGACAACCAGGAATGCTAAAAATTGGTAATATATATTTATAATTTCTATTTTTAAAGTTTGTCTGTTTGATAGAATCCTATTTAATTTCATCATTTTCTTGATGAACCTATTTAAATTGCTCTTACATTTGAACAGAATATGGTGTGAAAGGTAAATTTATACAATACATAAATCCAGAATTATTTTAGTGACCTGATAGCCATTTACATTTTGTAGAGTTTTTCACAGTCTTGTATTTTTTGTTAAATAATTTTGTCTTATCTTTGGTTGAGCAATTATTTTGTTGCTTTTATAGAACTACTGTGACAAACAACCAAATGAATCCTGTCTTACTCGAACATGAACTTTTCACTAGACTTTTATTTATGTTTTAGCTTTGTCACCTCGAGAAAGCTAGTGGAAAAAATGTTAAAGAAAATACAAAAAATGTTATGGTCGGGTATGTATTTTTGTTTAACTCTGGATAATCAAACTGTTTAAATTGTGAGTAAATTTAATAGAAAAATCTAGCCCAAGGAATGTAATTTAGAAAAACAAACAATTTTAATATTAATATTTAGGGAGAACTATAATGAATGGAACGCTGATTGAATGGGACAAAATTGAATTGGCTTACAAGCATCTAAGGTTAATTAATAAAAAAACTCCTGTGATAAGAAATGTTAAACACAACAATTCAACAGACCAAATCATTATTCCTATCATGGCCTAAACATAATGGGCCAAACATAACATTAAAATTGTTGCATTAATAGGAATTAATAGCACATTTCTCCTGGCAGAACAAACAATTTTCAATGTATAAATTACAAAACTTTATCAACTTTTAAAAAGTCTTTAACAAACACTGTCCTATTCATTTAGGTTCTCCCCTACAGGTTTCAGTTATAATTCGATGTCGAAACTTTGAATATAAAACATTTATTAAAAAGTAAAGAACCTTTCAAAATTATACTTTTGTAAATTATTGCTCTAATGTGTGTTTACATTTAATTAAATAAATTCGCTGGATCGATTGATGTAGTATAACAAAATAGTTATTTTTCATTTATTATTTTTTATTACGTTTTTATAGAATTATGGAACATCATGTTAAGCCCAAGTTCAATATGAAAAGCAAAATTCGTGGTGATATAAAGAAGGTGTCATTTGAAGATAAAAAGTTGTGTAAAGCAATAATTTTGGTACGTAATAATAGCTCAATATTGTTCTATCTATCCCTTCTTCCTTACATATATTTTTTATTCTTAGATATATAAAAGTCTTAAACCTTGAATGTTAGCGTTAAAAATAAATTGTTAACGTTATCCCGTTTACAGTATCCCATGTTGTATTTTAGAAGTCATCCAGCTAACGCACGAGAGTTCGACGGAAGCAAACAAAAAATCAAATAGGAAGCATTTTAAAGTTCTCTTCATTGAACAATTATTTATTTTTGAGTTTTTTTGTAAATTTATAATACAAAAGAATATATAATACATCTTTAAAAAACTCTTTAAAAACATTTATTGTATTTTTAGTTATCCCCAAAACTATTTTTCTAACCCTTTGTAAGGGGTTAAAAACCTTTATATTAACTTTGAATATTGATTGTAATTGTGTTTAACATTTAATGTTAATATATATGCGGTTATATTCATATAATAACCATGACACGAAGCCACGTATAAAGGGCTCCGGCTCAGGGTTATATGAATATAATTATAGCTATATTAACATTAAATATTACTTAATTACAATCAATACTTTACGTTAAAATAAAACACCAATGTTTTTCCAAGTTGTATTTACATTAGTATAACTTTAATCTAACTTTAGAATTTTACGTTAATATAACGTTAACATCTTACGTGAGTTTTACAAAACTTTTCCATTTTGCCGAACCGGCAACGTTATAGGGGAGAGTGGGGTATTGGCGAACAGTTAAGCGGGAAAGCGAATTAAAGACAACTATTACTATATATTGATGATATTTATAGCTTATCAGTTAGTCTAACCATTCGGTTAGAAGCACTCAAAAGCAATTTTCATATATCTTATTATAAAATAAAAAATTCGGTCAAAAACAAAACCTTTGGTGTTCGGAATTACCCTACGCACGTGGGGTAATTCCGAACATACCGTGGGGTAATCACAAACACTGTTGGGTAATAGCGAATAAAATGTTGATCAAAGCAAATCAAACTTAATTGAAGGGTTGAAATATTATTGAATCAAATTTTAAACAAATCAAACGTTAAAGAATCAAGTACCAATAAACGTTATTCAATGTAAATAAAATGTTACATTAACAAAATTTAAAAAATCAATAAATGTTATTCATAGCAAAAATCACAGAGAAAACCTCTTGATGTACTTGCACAACTTGTGCACTTCTCGTGGTACCAAGACTTACATTTATAACATTTTATCCAGTCTTCCGTGGGTGGATCATGATACTTTTCTTCACAAATTAAACAATAACAATCATTTTTTTTATCATCTCTCGTTATTTTTTTCTTCTTTGGTACATCATTAGCCTCAAAGTTATTAAAGTTGCTCCCTCCCTTCTTTTTTTTACCAGCAGTCTGTTTTACTTCTTGTTCCTTCATACTTTTCTTTTGCTGCTTGTCCTCTAAAAAATCTTTCATTGGAGAACTAGTGATAATAGTAGAATGTTTTTTTCTTAGACTTTCTCTGGTTTTTCTTTTTGGCAAATTAGGTACAGAGACAATATTTAAAAGAGATATTGACTGATTTGATCTATTTAGTACCAGTTCAGGGGCTATATTCACATCAGGTGACAGACCTACACTAGAAGGATTCAATGATAGGTTAACTAACACTTCAGATGATTTGGCTTGAGTATCTGAAGTCTGAACTGATTCTGAACTCTGAATGTTATCAAGTAATGACGTTTCATGTGTAACGATACTGATTGGAAAAAAATCATTAAATTTTGTGGGATCTAACGGATAAATACCAGCTGCTCGAAATCCATTGGCTGCTTTTTCAATATTGCTGAGACGATTAAAAGGTTTTGTAAATAGTTCAACAACTTCATATTGAGTAATTCTTCGGCCTATGTTTGCTGCCATAAAAATGTCACATTCCCTGTTGTATGCAGATTTGAGTGGACCAAAGTATGTTAAATCTAATGGTTGCATTCTATGGGAAGTGTGTGGTGGAAGGGATAACAATACAATTGCATTTCCACGACAGAGTAGATAGCAATCAAAGCTAATATGGATCTCATGGTTATCTAGGATTAATAACACAGGTTCGTCTTTGGTTGGTTTAGCAAATGAGATAAAGTGATTAAGCCAGTCCACAAATAAATTTTCATTGATCCAACCTGAGTCACTGACCGTAGCAAGCATATCAGCATTGCCTCCCCTGCAACAACTGATTATTCATGCATTTTCTTTTAAATACAAAAAATGGAGGAATATACTTTCCTGAAGCACTGAATGCACAAACAACTGTAGTTGTTGAACCTTCTTCCGCACTGGTTGCCATCCCAACTTGTTTCTGGCCCTTAAGGGCTAAGATTTTGGAATTTCGTTGAACATTAGAAATACCGGTCTCATCAACATTATATATATGATTAGGGTCAAAGTGATAAGTTTTTTGTAAAGTTTCCAGATTTTCAAAAAACATTTTTACTTCTGTTGCATTAAATCCATTTATACTGTTTAGTGAAGTGGGCTCAGGTTTTCTCAATGAAATATTTGAATGTCTTTTTATGAAAGAATAATACCAGTCTTTACCTGCCAATTGGGTTTTCCTATTAAATTTATGGGTCAACTTATTTCGTTCAGCAAATTTGAAAGCAATTTTTCGCACCATTTCAATTGTTAACCCATAAAAAACCTGGCTACATTTGACAATATATTCTTTTAACTCTTTTTCTTGTGCATCTGAGAATATACATTTTCTTCCACCTCTTGGTTGTGTTATGAATTCTTTCTTGCAATAGTCAAATAATGTGGTTTTAGGCACCGAATAAGCTAAAGAGGCTTGACTTAATGAAAAAGTTTTATTTTTCACGTCTTTTATGGCCTTTTTTAAATCCTCTAGCCTATATTTTATTTCAGTTTTTCTATTATAGTTTCGTGGCATCTAAAATGAAAAAGAAATTAAAATAACATACATTTATGTGTTGAGTATTAACATACCCTAAATTACCCTACTAAGATCGTTCGTTATTTCCCCGCGACCCAAACAAATGAAATTAAAGGAATATATTGGAGGAGTATTAACATACCCTAAATATTAAAAGTGTAAAAAACTTCATGATTATGATACTTTGCAACAACATAAAAAAATTTGCGGTTTTATATACATAGTATATCCAATACATAAATGTGTCGCAAGTAAAAATTACATGAAACTAAGAGAAAAACTTAGAATCAATCTATCGTGAACAACTTGCGCATCTAAACTACACTATTCCACGTCTGGAACTGAGCATGTAACCCACTCTCACCAGAAAAAAATAGTTAGTCAACTATCTTTTCCTAACACGCCGTAACGGCCTTGTTCGGAGTTACCCCGCGTTCGCCATTACCCGACTCTCCCCTACTAACATAAAATCTAACGTAAATAAAACGTTAATACAACGTTGTGTGCCTGCTGGGACAACATTGTGTGCCTGCAAGGATTTTTACTATTAAGTAAGATACACCAAACTTAAGTTTAATATTTTTTAACACTAGAGGCCTTTCAAAAAGTTATCAATAGTGCAATTTATGCTATCAAAATAATATTTTCTTGTTTTTAAACCGGAAATAATAATTATCCATAGCTTAATCTTTATAACTATTTTGGTCAATTTTTTATTTGATTTTAAACAGGAAATGTCAATTCAAAGTTTCATGTTTTTGTTTGTGGAGATGTTTTTCGTAAGAAGTTAAATTTTTTTCATTTTTGAGTTCCAAAAAAACAAAGGTTCTGTAATTGTATTATGTGCGCGTTGGCAATTATAAACATGATTATCAAATCTATTTGTTGATTGTCCAGTTCTACAACTAGAAACATGTCCATTTGCACGAAGTCTTAAATTATTAGTTTTTCCGGTGTGTGTAGTTTTCATATTGCCAGATAGACATTTTAAATAGTATATTACATTTTTACTATTGCAAGTTGTATGACTCTGTATGTTCCATATAGAACCATTTGATATTGTAAATGTTTTAACTTCTTGAAGGTAGAATTTGCATATATTACAACGATTATTTTTACATTTAAATAATCCTATTTCTTTTTCGATTAAATGGAACTTTGCAGAGGTCAGTATTCTTAACAGACTAGGTGGTTGTTTAAATGCAATTACTCGCTGGATATTTGAAAAAACTTCCTTTACTCTTTCATTTAAAAAAAATTAAATGAAAGAGTAAAAGTTTAACAATACAGGAGCAAGAAACAAACAAAGATAAGGAAGGGAGCAAAGATAAAACCTTGCAGTACTCAACCCTGGAATTAGGGTTGGCATTTGGCAATACTGAACTTAAAGTGTTTAAGGTTTCTATGTTTTACGGTAAGACCTTTGTACTCTATAGTCCCTAATAAACGTCCCTATTAATAGATGGACGTTTAACGTATTGTTTAAAAGCCAAGATATTCATTGTTACAAATAACAATAGCAAAACAATAGAGAACTATTTTTAACTTGAGAATATTTTTACTTGATTTTGCGTCAAAATAACGATAGTCTCGCCTAGCCTAAGAAATATTTAAACATTCCATAACACCTAAAAACTCTAAAAAGTTTTTAAATAAATAAAACCTTTTTATTATATGATCTATAAACTCAAGCGAAATCTTTAAATGTAAAAAAAAAGTTAATCACAGAAAAATATTAAAACAAAATTGTAAGTGAGACAAAATTTCCGACAAAAATGAGAAGTTTAAATACTTAAAATAATAGAATAGAATAATAATAGAAAACTAAGTGTAGGGAATAGAGACCACAAGTAATCTATAGTTCGATCTATATATGATCTACAGTTTTAACTACAACATCTAGAAAATTCGTTTCACTTTGCAGTATTCATTCTTGCAAACTAAATATCACTATTTTACAAAATACGATTTTTGACGTCTAAGTTTTATTAATAATAAGTTCTTATTAAAAAGCGCTCACGTATCAAATTTGACATTTTAAAACAGATGAGCTATTTCTGATTAATTAAAATGCATTAATTTTTAAAAAAAGTTTTGTAGGTAATTGCACTTTTTAAAAAAAATAGTTAGAAAAGCGAAATTATCGGAAGAACGTCGGTTTACTTTTATAAATTATTCAGAAAAGTGACGCTAAAACATTACATCATTAACAACCAATAGAACTATGGTTCGCAAAAAAGTTCGCATTTTAGCGGTTCGCAGTTCGCGGTTCGCAGTTCTCATTTTACCGACTACCAAACAAAAACTTTCAGTGTAAACAGGTTTTACAAATTGTCGACCTATTAATTCTCGACTTGCTAAAAATGAACTTTTAGTTTATTTCTCAACAAAGCTTTGGTTTTAATTATAGGATTTAATATGCTGAATATAACTTTTATACTTTGCAAACTAATGAAATTATGATAAAACAGCCTAACCTTACCCTAACAGCTGTTAGAAAATGCGCTTTTGACTTGAACATGCATAATTTGCATGCCAAATAAACGGGGGGCCATTGAACATGCCCCCTCCCCCCTCCCCCGTTTATTCAATTTCAGAAAAAATTTCTCTCTCTTCCTCTCCCCTCTAATATTAAAACCTCGTCGATTAAAACGTTTATTAGATTTTGACTAAAATTCCCACCCAACCGTTTATTCCCCCTCCCCCCCCCCCCCCGAACTTTCAAAGATTGAGGTTGACAAATTATTGTCGACTTGATTTTTCCTAATTCCGAGGTTTATTATTTTACAAGATGGCTTTAGTATTGATTTTTTTGATGTCTAAAATATGAAATTAATATTGAAGATAATAATTTCATGCCCAAACATTTCTTTTTCTATACTATTCTTTTATTTAAGTTTTTCATTTATTTATGCACCTGTTAAATTTCATTAAAAAAAAATTTTGTAGCAGGTTGGCTATTTTTTGTCGCACTTTTGGTACCTAGTTTTCACTTGCCCGAAATGGTCGCGGGAGACAGAGAAGTTAACTATAAATTTTTTATATATGATATAGATTAAATAAAATTTTCATGAAAAAAAGAAAATAATGATAGAGATAAAGGTTTTCAATATTGTTTTCTATTTATTAAAATTTTGTTTCAAAATTTTGTTTTTTACGTCTTTTTTGTTGTACTTTAGATAAGAAATCAGATGATTCATTATTGAAAAAATATTTTGATACTAGGGCGTGTTAAAACATCATCAACACTTTTACCATGAGTTTTACATTCCTTATTTGGTGGTTGTCTGTTATTAATTTATAGAACTTATTTTATTCAGAAAAAAACTTTGTTTCAGGACTTTAGGAAACAGTAGTTGTGATAATTTATCTATTTTTGTTATTATCGGGGAGATGGGGGGGGGGCATACACCCCTCCCATAAGTCAATGTAAACACCACTTGTATACGTAAATTCTTGTATAACATATTATTATATTGTATACTATTTGAATTCATTTTAGTAAAGATAAAAATATTTACGAAAACAAGTCATTTTTGATATTAGGGTGTATCAAACTATCACCACTACACCTACCTCAACCGCTAACATACGCCTTTCATATACTTTATTAGTTTAATATATATTTATAACAACTTTTTTGTATATTTAAATTATCTATGTTTTGAAAAAAGTTTCTTTTCTGAAAGTGTTCAACTTCATAAAAGGTGGTAAAGGTGGTGATTTGTTGCCCATCTAACCCCTTGGGTACGCCCGGTGGTTAGTGGTCAACATATTTGTAGGTACGCTTTAACTGTCTGTATCACATAACTTCTTAGCATCATTAGTTGCCAATAGATTCAGTGAATGGCTGATACATATTTCATGAGATGGCAAAGAAATACTCTCGGCTATGGGACTCATAATCAGCATTATGTTCTGGTAAAACTGAAAGAATGTCTATAATATTAATTACATCAATTTCATCCTCATTAACTTCATCCTCTTCCATGTCCTCTTGCTCTTCAAAAGTGTTAGGTGTGATAGTCACTTACATTAGTTGCTGCTACACTTGTAGTTGACTCTACGAAAAATTCTCTGAATGCTTTTCCAAAATTTGACACATTGCCAGTGACAGTATTTTTATTTTTATTTTTTTAATTTGCATTCACTCCCTACAAGGCTACAACCAACCACTATTAAGTTAGGAGTTACTAGGAAAAAAACGAACAGAGTTATAGAGCAAAGAAACGGTTGACAGAAGACTTGAAACGTTGAAGGTTGTATGAGTCAGGAAAATATGAAGATGAGAGAGAGTTCCAAAGGATTGACGTGCGGGGAAAAAAACTAGATGAATAAAAGTTTTTAGAGCATGCAGGGACAGATACAGTAAACGAATGAGACTTAGCTGAATGACGAGTAAAACGAGAATGAATTTTAGTTGATGGAACTAGAGATGATAACTCCTTTGAGCAGTGACCATGATAGTATTTGTAGAAAATAGAAAGAGATGGAACTTTACGACGATGAGAAAGAGGTTCAAGCTTAGCAGACAGTCCAGGTCCAACAACATTTACAATGCGTTTTTGGACCTTGTCAAGAAGAGAAAGTGAATCGTTAGAAGAACCAGCCCAAATATGACAACAGTATTCCATACAGGGACGAATAAGAGATTTGTAGAGGTAGAGAATGGAATCAGAAGTAAGAAAATGGCGAGCACGATAAAAAGAAGCAATCTTAGCAGAAGCTAATTTAGCAATCGATTATATATATGGTTTACATGAAAGGTCAGTAGTAAGCGATAATCCAGATAAGACAGTTGCTGAGATTTTTTCTATGTTAAGGTCATATTGACAATCAATTTTAGAAATCATTACAGCAATTGTGTCATATGTGTAACTACCATAAAATTGACGGCAAGCAAGAGATACAGATGTTCGTGAAGCCGAACTAGAATCATCTAGTGGCATTTCAATATAATGCGCAGTCATGCCAAGATAACTTTTTCTATTTACTGACCTGATAGCAAATAAATGATGCTTTTTTCAGTTTGCTTCTTATTTTTTCATGCATCCTAGAAAGCTTTGAATTTAAACGTTTGTTAAGAGTCTTGCGATACATGATACTTACGTTAGGTTTAAACCCACAAAGCAGTCGACGAAAAGCCAGTTGTTCAACCGTAGCCATAGGACACATCTCTTCTGTAATATAATTCGTAAAAAAGTTCCGTAGCTGCTTCATGCTGAACATCTGCCTTATGTGCCTTATAGTCTTCAAATCGATTCTTGTGCGAGTTCTATAAAGTAAACTAAAATCCTTTTGTTTGAACTTCTTATTAGCAGGGCCTTCATCAGCCATTTTTCCTACAGTAGCCTTGCCTAGCTTAAATTTTCTCTGAACATCTGCCTTATGTGCCTTATAGTCTTCAAATCGATTCTTGTACGAGCTCTATGAAGTAAACAAAAATCTTTTTAAAAAAAGTTCTTACTTTACTGTTAGTATACTTTGATTTATATTAACTTGTACTGCCTTTCATACAACATTTGAATTACGTACACATAATTAGCACAATGCTGATATTTTATTATTTTTTTTTTGATCTGGCTACGATTTTGAAAAAAGTACTATCTACAACGGCTGGTAGATTTAATTATTTTCTTCAGTCATTTCGTTTTCGCGGCTTACGGCAGCCATCTTTAAATTGAAGTTGATGAACCCCGCGAAATAATTTGATAATTACCCTAATGAAACCAAATTAGATAAAAAATTGGAAGATAAACCAAGGTAAGTAAATAAAATAAAAAATAATTCAAAATAAATAGTGGCAGAGTGACACTATGACATAACATTTAGTTTAGTTGTGCGTTTGCGGTGCTGCGAATGTTTTAAGTGTTATTTGAATTACAGGTATTTTCAATTAGTTAAAAATACTAATCAAAAGTATTTTAAGTACAAATACATATTTGTACTCAGCTATCTCAAATAGAAGTTGATTGAACGCGAGAGATTGCCCGTGTACTAATACACGTTGAATGTTTAATTGGGCTCCTTAGAAATAAATTACTTATGTAAAAGCTGAAATGTTTCTGTTTAGTAATTTATTCAAACGACCATGGTTTAAAAAAACTACGCCTCAAGGCGATGAAGCGTACGCCTCAGTGCGAGGCAGGTTTTCCCCTATGCTAAGATACTTTCAATAAAAGTATTTTAAATACAAATACAAAGAAAGTATTTAAAATAGTATTTTAAATACTTAGTATTTCAAATACTCGCAGCACTGGGTATTACTGTTTATTTGAATATATTTCTATTTATTCCCCGAACCTTTATTCTTTGTGTAAAGCTAACAGTTAATAACAAATCTAAACAATTTTAAGTTAAATACTATATATTCTGTTTTACTAATATTCTCCAAATAATATACCAGATACTATTTTACATAAAACTTAATGTTTATTTTACTTAATATTCTATAAACAATTCTTCTTAGTGTCTTTTCTTCTACTATATCTTCTTTTCAAAATTGAACAATTCTACGAAGTCATAGCGAACGAACGAGCGACGAGCGAACTCCTGGACTAACTGGAACTAACTGGAGTTTTTATTATTATTGCTTGCTATTACTGCTGGTATTATTATTGTTATATTACTTATTTTATTATCACTGTATATTATTATAATCTACTTTTCTTTTATTACAATATCTTAACTAGATATAAAAAATCTTATATCTTAAATAAGTATATAAATTAAATATATTTTGCTTTAGTTATATTTTTTGAACTTCTTACTTTATTATTATTGCATAAAGTTTTCTGTTTAAGTACAGTACTGTTTTCATTTTTTTAGTTTTTCATTAAGGTATTTACTTAAAGTTAGTATTTGTGCTATATGCATATTAGGGTGAAGCGATTTTAAAAAATTTTCGAAATTTGATTTGCCTGAGCTGCGAATTGATGTCTTATGGTAAAAAAAGATTGAGTACCAATTTGATATAGTTTAGAAGAAAATTTTTTTTCTTCTAAACTATATCAAATTGGTACTCAAAAGAAGCAGAATAATATGCTAATTTTGAAAATAATATTTGTTTTAATTCTAACCCTTTCATGCGCCGGGTTGTTTTAAAACAACAATTTAAAATAAAAACAACAAATTAAAACCTAAAGCAGATAATGCATCCAAACTGATTGAAAACAATTTTTTTTTTAATTAAGGACAGTTGATTAGGGCGTAAGAAAAAGTCAACCTTGCTATTTCATTGCATAACTGACATTGGTTGTGTTTAGATCATATCCCATTCGGAACGACTAATTTTTACTTGCGTATTTTGCCGAACAACATTTTAAAAAATTTGCGGAGCAATATTAATAACAACACAACACACGTGCCATATATTATTGTTTGTTACTTAAAATTGCTTTATTACATGGTCTTTATTTTGTTAACTTTATTGATTTTACAGTGGGTTATTGTATTAATTCATGGATGTAATAGTTCTTAAAGGTTAGTGTTTCTTTCATATACATAATTCCTAACAATATAATAACAATAGTTTTATATATATATATACACTGTGTCAAAAAAGTTTTCATCCACTTATCTTGCACATTTTAAAAATGCAATAACTTTTTATTCAGCAAAGATGCAAGCATGATATAAACTAAATTATATCATTTAAACATTTAAGAAATATTGTACAAAAAAAGTTTTTTTAAAGTAATGAGTTACAAATAAAATACAGCATTTTGGAATAAAAGATAGACATCTTTGTCTCAAAAAAGTTTTCATCCACTTTACAAAAATCAAATAAAATTGTCATACGAACTCAATTTATTAGTGTTTTAATAACTTGTGTTTCCACCACGAGCTTTTATTATTTCGTGTAGTCTGTTTTTCATTGAACAAACTAATTTTTTAGTAATTTCTGGAGTGATTAAGCCCCACTCTTTCATAATTACTAATTGGAGTTGTTGTTGATTCCTCACATCGTGGGTCCTAATTCTTCTACCCAATTCATCCCACAGATGTTCAATAGGATTCAAATCTGGAGATTGTGGGGGTGTATGAAGTTGCTTAGCTATTTTAAATATAAGCCATTCCTTGACACGTTTGGCAGTATGTTTTGGATCGTTATCTTGCTGAAAAGTAAATGACCTAGTAAGTCCCAAGTTGTGGGCACTTTCTTCCAGATTATTTTTTAGAATGTTTAAATACACATTTTGATCCATATTTCCATCAATGAAAACCAAGTTTCCTACACCTGAAGCACTCATACACCCCCACACTAAAACACTTCCTCCGCCATGCTTCACCGTTGGACACAAGTTTTGTTTTTTAAATGCTTCATTTGGTTTTCTCCAAACTTTAACTCTTCCATCTGATGAAAACACATTAAATTTTGATTCATCGCTGAAAAGGACTGATTCCCAGAATGTTTGTGGTTCATTGATATAAAGTTTTGCAAAGTGTAGTCGTTTGGCTTTGTTGACTTTGCTGATATAGGGCTTTTTCAATGGTACTCTACCATTGTATCCAGCTCTTCTTAAGGTTATTCTAACAGTTTCAGGGTCCACTTTTAAATTGTAATCATTTTGCAGCATTCCAGCGAGTTTTGGAGCACTTATTTTAGGATTCTGGATGACTGTTCTTAATATAGCTCGTCGATGCAATACTTGAATTTTATTTGGACGCCCTGTACGTGGCTTATTAGCAATTTTTTTGGTGGTTTGGTATTTCTTAATAATAGACTGCACAGTTGCACATGATTTCTTTACTATTTTTCCTATATTTCGCTGTGATTTTCCCTCTTTCCATAGTCTAACAATAAGCAATCTAATTTCCTCTGCAACTCTTATTTTTATTAATAATCTAACAAAAATAAAAAATATAAAAAACTCATATAAAAAAAAAAAAAATACAAAAATCTTACTAAATCTAATTTATATTTTAAAAATGATACTTTAATACTGATTTAATAACAAATTGAGGTTGGAGTGCAGGGTGGATGAAAAC